AAAAATGATGAGAAATGGAAAAAATGGAAGCAAAGTCTTTGTAAATAGGGAAGGGTGGAGGGGGTGAAGGGAGGGCAGGGAATGGGGAAAAAATAAGAACCAAGAGAGATCATGTAAAAGTACAAGTTCCCAATGAGAAATGTAAATGTGTTGTATACCTAAAATGTACCAATAAAAGAATTTAATTTAAAAAAAAAACAAAGGTGATCTCTAGGTAGATTTAAAACCTAAATGTGAAAGACAAAATTAAAATATGCTAGTAATTCCTTATAATGAAATGGTGTAGGACTTATTAAATAATACTCCAAATCACCAAATATAGGGTTATAAAAGACATGAATTTTACTGCATCAACCTTAAGGCATTTAAATCAATGAAGGACACCATCAACAAAGTTAATAGGCATACGATAAACTAGGAGAATATATTTGCAATGTCTAAAACTGATAAGCCATTAATACCTATAATATCTAAGCAACTCTGGTAAGTTAACAAGAAAAATGCAGAAAACACAGCAGTTAAATGGGCAAAGCATATTTGCAGATTGGACAGCTCAAAGAAGGGGACCTGAATTGGCTAAAAATCCTGTGAAGAGATGACTGGTCTTGTTTCTGTGCAAAGAAATACAAATTAACAATGAGCTATGAAGCCACACTCACCAGGTTGACCAAAAGTAAAAAGTCAGATAATACTGAGTGTTTGTGTGAGCATTTGAGGAAAAGGGGATTTCCTGTATATTGCTGGTGGAGGTATAAACTGATATAACTTTTTGAAAAGCGATCTAATGGTACTTACTGATAATAATTATGTATTGTAGTATATATTCCTTCAATCCAGGAACTTCACCCATGGATATATATCCTGGAGGCCAGCTTAGGCGCAAATAAAAAAATAAAAGGTTTGAGGGTATACCTCAGTCCAAAGTGCTGGGTTCAATCCCTAATACTGAAAAAAAGGACATCTATGAGGATGTTTATTGTAGAACCATGTATTTATTACAGAATCATTTGTGTAAATGATTGGAGGCAAACTAGATGTCCATTATTGAAAGTGTGCACATGTAAATTGTGGTAAATATATGCTATGAAATGTTACACAAGGGTTAGAAGCAATCAAGTATTTGGGCAAATAGCAGTATAGATATTAAAGATATTCTTGTGAAAAATATGAAATAGAATGAGATCAACAGTCCAAAGACAGGCCACCTCCTGACCCGCCGAGTCCCAACGCCCAGAGTGGCCACCTTCTGGGGAGGACGAGGCTGAGCAAAGGCCCAGTTTGAAGCAGCTGCTGCCTGAGCTGGGTATCGCCCAGCCCCCGGTCTTCCTGTGTGTAGTTGCGAGTATGTTTTGGAGCATCGGTCACATCCTGCAGTTGAATTGGGCTGTCTTTTGGGAATGAGGAAATACTATCTACTGGGTGTCTGCAGTTTAGGACAGCTGTGATTCTTGGGGTTAAGGAATTATTCTTGACAGAAGCATTTGAAAATAAAAATCTGTACCATGGCCTCAGCAGTACTTAGTTCTGTTCCCACTACAGCCTCTCGTTTTGTCCTTTTACAAGTAGATAATGGCAGTGGTTCTGATTCTGAGCCTGGAAAAGGGAAAGGCTGGAATACTGGAAAGTCTCAAACTATGGGAAGCAAATCAACTGCAAATGAGAAAAAAAGAGAAAAAAGAAGAAAAAAGAAAGACCAGCAACAGAGTGAAGCAAATGAGCTTAGGAATCTTGCTTTTAAGAAGATTCCCCAGAAATCCTCTCATGCTATTTGTAATGCTCATCAGGACCTTCCATTGTCAAACCCCGTACAGAAGGATTCACGAGGTGAAAACTGGCAAGAATGGAGACAAAGAGATGAAGAGCTGACAACTGAAATGTTTGAAGCTGATCTTGAGAAGGCATTACTGCTAAGTAAATTAGAATATGAAGAGCACAAAAAGGAGTATGAAAATACTGAAAATGCTTCAACTCATTCAAAGATTATGCATAAAAAAGATGAAAGAATCATCAAGGAAGAGATAAACCTCTCACAGTTTCACTAAAAGATTTCCAATCTGAAGATTGCATTAGTAAAAAGACTGTGGAATTGAGTTCTTCCCAGACTTTATCACATGATGGAGGATTCTTCAATAGATTGGAAGATGATGTTCATAAAATTCTTATTAGAGATAAAAGAAGAGAACAGCTTACAGAATATAATGGAACAGATAACTGTACAGCTCATGAACACAAGGAAGTGGTTCTTAAAGATGGAAGAATTGAAAGACTAAAGTTGGAACTTGAAAGGAAAGATGCTGAAATCCAGAAGCTGAAAAATGTGATCACTCAATGGGAGGCA